GCGGTCGAAGGTTGGTCGAAGTGGCTTTTTGAGACGGGATGCATGCCATTTTGGGGGATTGAAACGCTAAATCCAAATGTGCCTTCCTTTTTTGCGGAGCATTTCTGAGTGAAGAGATATGACGGTCTCATAAAGCCATTAAGACTAATTTCTTTGTAACTCAAATTGAACCATTTTAATGAATGTCGTCTGGCACTTACAAGTTAGAGCAGAGTAGTACATACGATAACGATACGTCATTTATCAAAATCCAAGAATTGAGCGATTTGCACATTAATTACAAGAGGCGCTCTTTGTTTTCGATGCGCCAAACCACAATGAGGAAAAGTGGAAAAGAATGAGAGCGCATCAAGTTTCCTACTTATTTTTCAAGCTTTTGGAACTACCTTTTCAAAGGACTTTTGCATAACAAGAAGAGTTGTCAGAAATGTGCTGAACAAACTGGCAAAAATGAAAAAGCTCTCAGAATAATCTTCGGGTAGAATTTATAGAAATGCACAGAAATTTGTAATCGCACACCAAGATGATTGTACGCTTCGAAGGCGAATATCCTCAACCAATTTGCTTGATGCTTGATCGTGCAGTTGCTATCTCTAACAAGCTGTATGATTCTAGCGAAATTGGCGGAGACTGTTAGACTAGAAAAATTATAAAAAGTTGAATTAACTTCTACCTTTTTGGTTCTGTTGTCTGCTACGCTGAATTTGGCGTTTGCAAAGCACGAAAGCTGTAAGAATAGGTTTCTCTTAGTTTTTAAGTTTGAATTCGGATGAACAGAGCAGTCCCAGCAAGGTTAAGACCCAGACTCGCCGTTTAACTCTACGATCAATCCGTGGTGGAATGAGTACGGGGGGAAAACCACGGGTGGGAGATTACCTATTTGTGCATTCTTCAAAATTTCCAAACGTATTTTTCGCTAATCTTTTTACATCACCCCAAATTCAAAACTCTCCCCCCCCCTCCCCTCCCCCGCCTTGCCCGCACAGGACCTCTAAGTACAAAAGCTCCTTCTATCATTTCATTTTATAATGACATCAATTGTTATAAAGTGATAATTTATAATTGCCTTTAAAGAACAAGACTCTCTTGGAAATGAGATGTTAACCAACCTCCGGGCCTTTGCGGCTCATCACATTGTCGGTTTCAGTCTACACACCTCAAAAAATAATTGGGCACAAATTGCATGGACTTTTGGAGCATACTTATTTTTCTGACATCACTCTTGTTGTGCGAATCATCTCTCTCTCCTCTCTCTCTCTCCGTCTTTTTTTTTTCTCTCTCTCTCTGAGGTCTTAACAAGCACGGCACAGGTGGCTTACTAAGCAAGCTGGAATCGTTTTTTGGGGGAAAAAGCAAAGGGGATATCGTTTTTGCGGAACAGCATACCGCTGTCTTTCGGGTTCGCGTGCCTCCGGCACGCTCTCCCAAACAAGCAGAAGGTTTGTTTACAGCGAAATGGAAATGAAATGACACCAGAACTGGTGTGTAAATGGGCAATGAGGAGTTACGACTATATAGGAGAAATTTCAAAAAAAAATTATGTGGATTGAAGGCGTGCTCAACTTTCTTCGAAGTTAGGTGGCTTTCAAGCCACCTGAAATCCACCTGAGGTGGCTTGGAAAAGAAAAAGTCATAAATTCTGCCTCCTCACATAATTTTTGACGTTCTTTACATAAGTTTGATCTACATCTCAAACCCTACAAATTGGTCCCTAAACCGCCTTGAACCCCATCCTTCCTGTTTAGTTACAGTCCCCTGAAAACCTTGAATGGCGGTGGCAACAGTGCTGAAGCGCGTAGATGCTGCGCATTGGCCAATCAGGAGAATTCGAATAGCATCGCGTTTGTTCAATGCTATATCTAGTTTTGCTCAACATTTCTCCACATTACCGTACTTCTTCTGTAAGAAAAATTCGAGAAACGAAAACAAGTCGCAAGAGTGAAATGTCGGGTCATAAGTGGTTTACTTTGGGAAATCAGCGCATGTACAAGGTCGGTGCTTGTGCTTTTGAATCTTTGGTTTTATACCGATTAGTTAAGTGAACGAAACGACTAGCTTGGTTGGAGCTAGCCAGTTCCGTTATCTTTATTTTTTATTGCAGAAAAACAGCAACTGGTTTATGATTGCCTGCTGCAGGTGTAAATATATAAAGAAATGGAGACTCCGCAGGCTTTTTGCGGGCAAATCTAAATTTGACGTAATGAAATAGATTTTGAACCCGCTTCGAATCCCAGGTGGATCGAACTTTCTGCGAACGTTTGGAAGCTTGTACAGTTGTGACAGTGGAATGTGAAAAATTTCGGCGAATTCGCCAAATTCGCCAAATTCGCCGATGTCGCCGAATTCGCCGATGTCGCCGATGTCGCGGACTTTGCGTCTTTTCGTCATAACTCCCTTCGTTTTCAATGGATTTCAAATTTGAAGGCAGATTTGGATTCAGCTCGCCAAGACGAATCTTTTCGTATATTGAGATGCTGTAATCGGCTCGGTCACGGTAAGTGCATGGTAGGAATCCGTTGCATCCTGTGGTGGTGTCTTCTAGAGTGTGTATTTCGGCGCATAATGTAGGCAAAGGTTTAAGATAAAGAGCGATTGATGGAAGAGTTTCTGCAGAGTGTTTCCAGCAAAAAACCATATCCTTTTTTTGTAGTGAAAAAAAGAGAAAGGAGTACGTGAACTTAGTAAATATGCATGAACTACTTACCGTCAAACAAACACAACTATACAGTAACATTACGATTAGCAAAACGGTTATAATCTTTGTAATCAGCATGTCTTGTTGCTTATGTGAGCAAAGTGACACACCGCATGACTATGATATTCTGCTTCCAGCAAAACTTCACTTTTTTCTGCAGACGCCTCTTTGCAACGCTGTGGGCCAGCCCCTTTCACACTTAAAAGATTCCGGTAAGGCGAATCGGAAAGACTTGTTTCCGTAGATAATCCAGCGGTGAAAAGTAGACGGAGACATGCTTTATAAAGCGCGAAAAGAGATGGTGAATTCTGCAAAAATCACGCGCCTTTAAATTCTACTTGCCATAACTTCCTCCGGAATAAGTATATTCTGAATCCGAAAACGGTGCTGTGCTCAGCTCATCAAGGCGAATCTTTTGGTATACAGCATGTCCTTGATATTTCGATTTCAGTATTCTTGAATCTTTCTGAGGACGTCTTTTCGCGAAGGTGTAAAGCAGCGAGCATTGTCCCGAGTAGTAGTTGCATGACTAATTGCAAATGTTATGTCTACCCCGCCCGCGTTCTATAAAACCACTCACGGTGGAATTTCAACAAAGTACGCGATCTTTACATTTTGTGCAAATTTCATGAGGACGTATTTGTAGGCTCGTAACTCGGCGGATTTTATAGACTGGAGCCCGATTCATGCACCATTCGATAGCTCAGTTCCTATTCACTTTGACTTAGAAAAGCAAGCAAGCAAGGTTTCTGAGAGATACGCGAGAAGTGCGGGCAAAGTTACGCACTTTCGTGGTGCAGTTACAGTTACCCCACCGTATCTCTCCAAAAAGACACTGTAATCCTCAAAGACGACGATTTTCGTAAAGAGCGTGTTCGAAAACCTCTATAAGCGAAGTTTCCTTACAATTCAAGAGCATCAACATTTTGACCAAAATCCATCGGCGAGCTTCCAGGGCGTAAAACGAGAAAAAATGAAATAACCCGGACATCTCGGAAAACTTGCTCATAAGGTTATCCGACCTGCTGATTACGATAATCACATCTGCTTAGCAAGATAGCTTCGTATCCTGCGGATATGGCGAGTAGAATTTGGGACGACAAGATTTTTCCACAATTCACCAGCCGTTCTATTCCCTTTGAAAAGAAACCTGCGGCTACTGTTTAGCACATTATAATCTGCAGAAAAAGTGCTATCGAATCATCCTTGCTGGAATGTACTCGGGACAATGCTCGCTGCTTTACACCTTCGCGAAAAGACGTCCTCAGAAAGATTCAAGAATACTGAAATCGAAATATCAAGGACATGCTGTATACCGAAAGATTCGCCTTGATGAGCTGAGCACAGCACCGTTTTCGGATTCAGAATATACTTATTCCGGAGGAAGTTATGGCAAGTAGAATTTAAAGGCGCGTGATTTTTGCAGAATTCACCATCTCTTTTCGCGCTTTATAAAGCATGTCTCCGTCTACTTCTCACCGCTGGATTATCTACGGAAACAACTCTTTCCGATTCGCCTTACCGAAATCTTTTAAGTGTGAAAGGGGCTGGCCCACAGCGTTGCAAAGAGGCGTCTGCAGAAAAAAGTGAAGTTTTGCTGGAAGTAGAATATCCAAGACACGCTGATTACAAAGAATATAACCGTTTTGCTAATCGTAATGTTACTGTATAGTTATGTTTGATTGACGGTAAGTGGTTCATGCATATTTACTAAGTTCACGTACTCCTTTCTCTTTTTTTCCTCTACAAAAAAGGATATGGTTTTCTGCTGGAAACACTCTGCAGAAACTCTTCCATCAACCGCTCTTTATCTTAAACCTTTGCCTACATTATGCGCCGAAATACACACTCTAGAAGACACCACCACAGGATGCAACGGATTCCTACCATGCACTTACCGTGACCGAGCCGATTACAGCAGCTCAATATACGAAAAGATTCGTCTCGGCGAGCTAAATCCAAATCTGCCTTCAAATTTGAAATCCATTGAAAACGAAGGGAGTTATGACGAAAAGACGCAAAGTCGGCGACATCAGCGACATCGGCGAATTCGGCGACATCGGCGAATTCGGCGAATTCGGCGAATTCGCCGAAATTTTTCACATTCCACTGTCACAACTGTAGAGCATGTTTGTAGTTTTGCTCTCAAATATTCCTCAAATCATATCTGAAACAAGAGAATTTACTTGGAGAGAACTTTGGGAACAAGCTGCTGGGGTTTGATTGTTGCACATAAGATATTCCCGTGATATGTTCGGTCAAATCATCAATCATATGAAATTGTTGAGAACTCTAAATATGTTTAGATCATGCTGTTCATCAAGGTCGTCGCTTTGTTTTGCCTCATCTACATCGTCTCAGCAGAAAACTGCAGATTTATCAGGGTGAGACATCACTGAGTTTTATAGAACGCTTCTGTAGTCGTCTTGCTATTATAAAGTACCAAATGACGTCATCGAATTTGGTTTAAAAAACAATGCTATCAAATTTTATCGCGGGAGATAAGCCTCTCATACTTTTGAAATAGCAGCAAACCATTGAAGATTTTCTGGGCGATAATACGCGATGTGTACTGCAGTGCAGCAACTCTCTTATTCAGTTTGAGAACGCAGCAGAGGCTGAACGTCGTGCATTATTCGAAAGATGTTTGCTGAGCTGCGATGAATCGCCTCGAGAATTGAATCCCTGTTACAACTGCATTATACCCTACAGAGATTACGGATGTTTGCTGAAGAGAGGAGAGGTTAGTCTACAAAATAACGATTTATCGTCACTAACTAAACTTTACGAATATAACGCTAAATTTCTTGAAGCTTATCGGATGCGAGACCCACTGCGCATCGCAACAGGGAGATGGAGAATTTATGTTTTGCCTTCGACGATGCGCACAAAAGAGGAGAACATTGAAAAAGTTGAGGACTTTCAAGGAAACCAAGACCGAAGTGAGCCAACTTCGGAAACATTGTTAGACCCAATTGGTAGCCTGTAATAGCTTTTTTATTTTATGTAGAAATTACCTTGTATGTGGTCGTTTCTATCAGTATGTCCTTGGAATTTGTGTATATATATATGATTTTTTATCTTATGTGCACACGATATGCGCTCTAACTAGCGTAATGAGTTAGAGGATCAACTCGACGATAGGAATTATCAACATAAACAAACATTGGCGCTAGTCTACCACATCTTATATATAAAGCTGAATGTCTGTTTGTATGTATGTCTGTCTGTCTGTCTGTCTGTCTATATGTCTGTCTGTGTGTACGTATGCTCCGAATAGAAAATTCCATTTCTGAACCGATCCGGACCAAACTTGGCACACATACACTTCGGGCCCCGGCGCGTGTCATAGGCTACTTTTCGTCATCGATCGATATCGATTTTATCGATTTTTTGCAAAATTTGAGCTACGGGGCTGGGAGTTGGCACAGGGGGGTAAGTGAGCATGGGAATTCCGAATACAATATTAGTTTTTAAAATCGTGCATTACTTTTATCGATTTTATCGATTTTTTTGCAAAGTTTGAGCTACGGGGCTGGGAGTTGGCACAGGGAGTAAGTGAGCATGGGGATTCCGAATACAATATTAGTTTTTAAAATCGTGCATTACTTTTACCGATTTTATCGATTTTTTTGCAAAGTTTGAGCTACGGGGCCAGCCCCCTAGCTCAAATTTTGCAAAAAATCGATAAAATCGCCATCAATCGATAACGAAAAGTGGACTGTGACACCCGCCGGGGCCCGAAGTGTATGTGTGCCAAGTTTGATTCGGATAGGTTAAGAAATGGAATTTTCTATTCGGAACATACGGCGGAGCCGGGTAAGCCAGCTAGTGTATGATAATTGTAATCAAAGGCGGCTTTTTTATCCTACTGTGCTGGACATAATTATAAAGGCACTTTAGAAATCATGTGTTTTTGACAAACCTGTCTGAAACTTCGCTGTATAGCGCTCATGTCAGACCGTCATCATTTTTTAACGGCTTTTAATCCCGTTGAGTTCGAAAGGAGAAAAGTGGAAAAATTTCAAAAGCTCGCATCGAAGGTTGGACATTATCATGAAGCCACCTGGTTTTTCAAACACTATCGCATTTCTTAGGCTGGGTTCATACTAATTCCCATTTTACGGAACTGTTCCCGCACAGTTCCCGTACTGTGCTGGAACTGTTCCGGAACTATGCTGCATGCGCTACAGCCGCCCCGCACGCATTTTGAACGGCAGAAGTTGGAGAATTTTCACCATTTTAACGGTTCTACTTCCAAATTTCTTTCATTTTGGTCTTATTCCTCCACCCGCTTCTCTTTTTGATCAGCAAAACTTCGAACTCAAAGCTGGATTGAAGAGTGAGCGCTTTTCTGCTCTGCGTATGCGACACAACGCGTGTTCTTGGGCTCGTTCATTTTCTCTTCCTTTATTTTTACTCAGACGTATTCCATTTGTTCCAGAAAGCCGCTGCGTAGTTTCCATAGTCATTCGCCATGAAAGGGAGTGCGAGGAATTTAGAAATTGCATAAACTGGGACTTTTCTCTTGTTTTTTGATGAATTTCGTTTCTGAGCATTCTCATCCCCTTTCGTTTTTCCATATCGTTGCTTCTCCGTTCCTTCTTCCACTCCGCTTCTCCTTGTAGTGAGGAAAGCTGTGAACTTGAAGCGGAGTTGAGAATTGAACGGTGTTCTGCTCCATGTATCCGGGAAGATGGGCCTTCGCGCGCTCGTCCATTTCCTTTTCGCTGTTTTTGTTCAGACCCACTTCATGTGTTCTAGAAAGGCGCTGCGTAGTCTCGCATCTGTATTGAAAGGGACGTAGACAGATCTCTAGAACACATGAAGTAGGAGTGAACAAAAATAAAAAGAAAGTGAACAAAAATGGGAAAGAAAATGGACGTGCACAAGAACACACGTCTTATCGCATACGCAGAACAGAAAAGCGCTCATTCTTCAGCCCCGCTTCGAGTTCGAAGTTCTGCTGATCAAAAAGGGAAGCGGGGTAGAGAAATGAGGCCAAAATGAGAGAAATCTTGAAGAAAAACCTTGAAAACGGTCAAAATTCTCCAACTCCCGTTCAAAACGGTGCGGGGCGGCTGCAGCGCATGCAGCACAATTCCGGAACTCTTCCCGCACAGTTCCAGTACAGTGCGAGAACTGTGTGGGAAGAGTTCCAAAACATGGGAACCAGTATGAACCCAGCCTAAAGGCACCGTCCACGCAGATTCTCGACTTTTATGCTCTGGTCGTTTCGGGGCCTTCTCATGTCTCTGGATTGGAGTTGAGAATTCGCGGAAACTCCGACAACTTCCGTTCAGAAGAACAGCAGGCCGGTTCTCCGAAACGGTAAGTGGATGGGCGCGTGGGGGGAGCGGAGATTAATGGAAGGGCGGAGCCGACTTAGGGTTCTCATGCCTCTTCGCTATTCCGAACTAGCTTTCGAAGTGACATTTTGCGTCGCGACTTGGGCACTGTCTTGATAGGAGGTCTTAGGCCCGTATGCACGTACGTCCCCGCTGGGGAGGGGAGGGGAGCTGGATCCCCAGGGGAACGATCCCCTCCGCCGAACCCCGCCATGACAGAGGGGAGGGGAGCGATCCCCTCCCCTGCACCTAAGCGGGGATGGTGTGAATGATTTCAGAGGTATTGATCGAGCGAACCCCAGTGCATACGGGGTTCGAATGGGGGAGGGGATCCCTTCCCTTCCCCCACTCGAACCCCGTATGCGCGAATTCAACTCAATAACGCGGGGGAGGGGATCGACATCCCCTGCAACGAAGTAGGGGTTCGATGGTGTAGATCATGCCAGAGACGCGGATATTCTGGTTCTGCTCAGTCATTACCAAGCATTTCGTTCATTTTGATGGAGGATTTTCTTTGAAAGCCGGGTTCTTCTCTCAGCGACCTGTGGTTTGCAATTTGTCTTTCTTTTCTATATTCGCCTCTTGAGAAGAAATCCGAGCAACAATAGCTGCCAATTTCGATTATTTGTAAGAGTTCTTGATCACTCAGGAAATTTGCGCATTTTTCATATAACATAATAGTTTTAACTATATAGGCTGAATAAACACACTGTAACTTTCATATTTCATGACATGTTGCCATTATCTTGTTTTTTTAACATAAGCTGCCTCGAAAAAATCTAGAAAGTAGCATATTTGCCTATTTCTGAGTAGTAATCCCCTGGGGAGTGATCCCCTCCCCAGCGTTCCCCTTGTGCATAGCAGGGATGGCTGCTGGGGATCATTCCCCTGGGATAAACGACGATATGCAGCTGATAGTTACAGCGTTTATGGAGAGCTGGCACAATTTGCAGCTTCTGTTATGTGTTAGAATACTGCTTTGAGCGTCCGCGCGGCACCCCCCCCCTTTTCGGCAGCATAACGTCTTCTACCCATTCCCTTGCAGAGACACATCAACTTCTATAGTTCAACATTTTGACGCTGAAATGGAGCAGCATGAACGAAAGTGGGCAGCATCCAAGAAAGCAGGAACATAATGGGAGTAGAAAAAATCATTTTTAGCGCCCCGAGCGCAGTCACTGCATACGCACATTCCGCAACCCTAAATTAATTGAAGTGAGGAGATGAAGATGAGTTGCAGTCAAAATATGAAATAAGAAAGAGTTTTTCATAGAAAATTTGAAAGCAAGGTGATTTCCCCGCTTGATCCCCTCTTGTGCATAAGAGGGTTCACTTCCCCTCCCCACAGGGGATCCCTTGTACGATATTGTCTTTGTGCATACGGGGGTTCGCGCGGGGAGGGGAGGGGATCCCCAGCGGGGATCATTTCAATGGTTAAGCGCACATCCCCTCCCCGCGGGGATGTACGTGCATACGGGCCTTAGTGTATCCTATGCCGAAAGCTCAAGACTCCTAACTTAGAGTGAACGGTGCCTTTAACTCTCAAAGTTTCTTGTACTATTATATTTTAGAATTGAAACATCACCGTTTAAACCTGTCATATGATTTAAAAAGAAGGGATCGTTGCATTTTGTAAACGCTACTGCATGACAAAGGCGCAGAAGCGGTATTAGTTGAGCGGTCGCGAGCGCAACGCGAGTGTATCTTTATCGTTGTAAATCCTCCGCTTCATGCCATCTGCGGCTAATAAAGCCGCGTTCGCGCCTGAAGATATTGCGCCTCCGTCATGCAGCAGCCTATACTTTCGAAAGCATCAAGAGCCAATCTGCTTTCACAGCTCATTTGAGGAATTTTCAACCTATCATAACTTATAATAAGCGGCTAAGGATGTTTACGTCTTTTTGTACATGTGTGTATGTGTGTCTTGTCCGTTACGAAATTCGTAGAGCGTTTTACAGCCAACGTCCTGAGACCAAATTTTGCACGGCGCATGCTAGCAGCATCAAAGTCCACTATGCAAAAGCGCGAGCGGATCCGTTCGGTGGATCTTTCAAAAACTGCGCGTCAAATGGATCCACTTGGCTTCTGGCCTGTAGCACCACTTTTTGCAAAGTCGTGGATACGTTTGACAAGTTAATGTGCAACCCATGGACTTTAGCCCAAAAAAGTGAACAAAAATTTATTACTTCACCAAATGGCGCCAAAAAGAATTGGCTGTGTGAATGTTTGATTTGCCAAGATTTTACCTGATCATTTGGAAAAATTTCTTTGCAAAGCGATGTGGCCCACGGCGATTATTGCATAAGGCGACTACCAAGCCATGAAAAGCCCAGAAACCGATTTAAATTTGCATTTGTTCTTCTGGGAAAAGTCTCATCCTCTCTCTCTCAGTCTCTATCACCAATCTCACCTCAAAATACTGTAGTAATGAGTAGTTGCTTACAAATCATTCGTGATAATCCATACAGCGCGGTGAGTTTCAATGTCATTTGCGAGAATCAGTAAGGCATACAGACAATGGGGCCAGTGCGAGTCTCTGCCAAACAGAGGTGACGCACTGGTTGTTAATATAATGGCCATGGAATAAGCCTTAAATAAATGAGGTGAAGGCGGTAATCTCTGTGTTATCGCTGATAT